CTGGACGTACCCCTTAGGGGCAAGGAAGATTTTTTTTCCCTCCAAGAATGCATTATTTGACTTTTGCAGGGTAAAGGAGGGAGGGTTGCCTTCCTTTTGAATCTGTGGGCATTGTCTGCAGCTAGAGATGAAAAATTGGCTGGAGTGTACTCAGAGGGAAAATGGTACCCTAGGCAAACTTGCATTTTGGATCCTCCTCATGGCAGCTTCCCCCACCCCCTGGCAGTCCCCACAAGTCACTGGCACTGTGTGCATGGGGTATATGGGAAGGCTGTGGGAGTGTGGGGAGGGTAGGGAGTGTGTGTGTATCAGGGGCATGTGTGCCCCAGCAGCTGTGGGTGGCAGTGGACCTCATGAGCTATCTTGGGGCAGTGTGAGTCTGCTTACCCAAGATGCTGGTCTAGTCCTGGCTGGTGGGGCTAGGGGGCAGTGGGGGCTCAGTGTGGGGCAGCAGGAAGGACAGCCAGGCAGGCAGCAGGCAGGGCTGCCCACACAGGAAGCCCAGCCCCAGTGGCAGGGTGCTGTCGCTTGGCCACCTGTGCCCTTGTCCTTGGCAGTAGTCGTGGTGGCCAGGGGCAGCAGCAGCTCAGCCTCCAGCCCCAGCAGGTTGGTGATGCTGAAGCTCTTGGCATTCAAGCTGGGCCCACCCAGCTGCATCACCTTCTCACTGGGCATTGCTGTCTTGCCCTTGACCCAGCCCTGAGCTCCCTCCTCCCAGCCTGTCATGCTGCCTGGCAGTGCCTGCCACTGCCACCACCCAGGGGCATTTTATCCCACTGCCCCAGCCAGATACCCAGAGCTGATTGAAGTTATGGCTGGAAGGGGGCAGGCCCTGCTCCCCAGCCCCTGGGATTAGTTGCTCCCGAAGTCTCCTGACAGCTCCCACCTGGCATGAGTGGCAGGGCAGGGCGTGTGTGTGTGTGTTTGTGACACGGCGCCCCCCTGACAAGGGCTTCTTGGAAAGTTGCCCACACCACTCACCCCTAAGGCCAGCTCTGAGTGCACCAGTACTCCTACTAGTACTTAGAAACCTGGTTGAATGGTCTTGCTCATGGCCAATCTAATCACCACATTTAGGGTCAGGTGGTAACTGTTGCCTCTGTTTAGATTGGTGAAGACCATGGATTTTTTTCCCCTTTGTGTAGCATGGGGTTTGGTCCTTTTCCTAGGATCATCAGAGAACATTAACCTAAAAAAATCCTGTCATTGCAGGGGTAAGGCATGATCACATTCTTGTTTCCCTTATTCTTTGTCTGAGGCATATTTTAGGGGTTGTTTTTTACAGGTTACTTTAAGGCCAAGGTACGTGAGAGTAGTCAGAGTGGATTTTGTTGGCCCTTTGGACTCAATGCCTGGGAGGTCACTTCCAGTCCTATGTTTCTATATAGCCCCCTAGAAACCACTCTCAAACTACTGGATAATTAACTATGGCATATATCCCAATGCAAACGCACTGTTTTATTAGGGCCAGACTTGCAAAATTGTGAAGTAGTCAAAATTAACATCAGATTTTCAAATGAATTCAACTTGTATCTAGGTACCACAATTGCTGGCTGGATTTTTTTAAAGAGGTTGACATGTTGGTTGCTGAGCTCTTTTGAAAGCACTTCCTAGCTGTAGGTATTGAATACCTAGAAATCTTGTCAGAATAGTCATAAATAAATAAATAAATAAATAAATCAAGTGTTAAACTTGACTCACCTGGAAATCTGTCTGGGTAGACTTTCCCCCAACATGTTAAGAGTCATAGAGGGTCTTGTGCACGTCAGCCTCAGGAACTTTCTGCTGAGATGCGCGATACTCTTTTGGCCATATATTGAATTAAACAAATTCCATTGTAAACTCTGAGAAATGGAAATAACTTTGAAATTTCAAAGTTTTTTTGCGAAACTCAGATAATTTTTTAACCAGCTCTGTAAATAACACATGGAGAAAGGACGGTAAAGTTGGACCTTATGGACTAACTAATTAGCTATTAGTTAGTGACTGCTAATGACAATTAGTCTGTATGGTACAACTGTACTCTTCCTTATGCCTGACTTCAGACTAACATGGCTAATTACGTCTCAATAACACATGGGATGCACACACGGGAGGTCCAACCATGGTACGAGCCTACAATGAAAACACAATGAGATTCCTGTCAAATATTATGAGCGTTAAATATATTCTTCAAAAACACCAGAAGCAACAAGTCCATCCCCCACTATGGACCACAAAACAACTCCAGGATGACTAAAGGAACATAATTTTTCTTTAGTCGTATTATGGAGAGACAGCCTTCCTCCCTTATGAGGTAATTTAATTTTCACATTATGCTTTATGGGATATCCTTTATTTACCTAATGCTTTCCTGTCCAGGCTTTTCAGGCTATGAATCTTGTAAATTTTATATACACAAAGGTGACTTTTCCTTCCTTTAATGGCCAGGGCTTATCAGTGCAGACAACCGATACTGGACTCATAAATATGTCACTCTCACTTTAGTTGCTGCCCTTCTACTTCATAAGACTATTTCTTGATGCTCACTCCTCCCTTCCATCCACTGGATTTCAGCAGTCCAGCTGTATCCTTGATTCTGCTGAGCTCTCCATTGGTTGATATAAATAAACCGCCAATTTAAGGTATAGGTGAAAATCATTGTTGCAGGCATTCACAGAGAATGCAGTACAAAGTCAGTGGAGCCAGTGCCTTCCGATTCAAATTAAATATTTCCTGTAAGTCTGTGCCAATTGTGCATCTTGTAAGAACATTTGAAAGCAGGAGTTTGAACTCTCTTGCCTCGAAACCTGTTTCCTGTTTAACAAGATTTAACAAGTAGAACTAAACACGCGCAATCAGCAACAAAAGTCATTGTGAGTTGCTCCAGTGGGCAAAGGTGCTGTGTTTCCTCCCTTCATGTATGCCCACCCTACCAGCCCCGCTTTCACGTGGGAGGTTGCTTGGAGGATGCAATGCCCTAACACTCCCCAGTGCAGGACTCTCTCAGCCTAATCTGGCATATTTGCTGATGGATATTTAAGGAAGCAATGCAGAATCTGTCTCTCTAAATAAGACCCTCCTTTTTTTCCCCCTCAAATGGCTGCTTGTTAGTCTTTAAATGCTTCACGTTTCTGATTCATGTTTTAACAGCATGAAATTCAGTAAAGATTCATTTTCACAGGTTATTATGCAGAGTTTATTTAACATCTACTTTGGGAGAAAGATATCTTGTAGAATTTGCTTTGTTTGAGGGTAACTTTTATCTGTAGTTTGAAAGAAACAGCCACAGTATTTTGTTCTGAAATTTCTCTGTCATTTCCAGTTGCATTTTTAATACAATTTGACCTTCCTCACTGCTAATGGACAGATGGTCTGTTGCCTCCCAGGTACTGGTCCTCCTGCAGATTGGCTCTCCTCTCCTCATCCTTGCTCCTCACAAGCTTTTGAGGTGAGGGAACAGCTAGGGAATGCTTCAGTTTTCCAGAAGAGCAGAGAGGTGGAGACAAACAGAAACCTTAGTTGTTTGCTAAACAGTCCCAGGAATAGTCCCTTGAAGCAGGAGAAGCAGGTTCATAGAAACTTTTCTCATTCGTGACAGCTCTGCTTATGAGATCCATTTCCACCAAGATGAGGGACACAGTGGAAAGCGATTGCAAGGTGGAGTATGGGATGGAGGTGGAGGCCTGACATAGCAGTGCCCTAAAGGAAGGGGAACATCAGGCTGACACTCCATTAAATGGAGTGATGCCTGATGGGACCCGTCTTTCCAAAAGACAGCAATGGTAAGTGAGGGATTTTAAAGGAAAGAGGGTGCTGTTTTTATGGCGTGAGCAAAGCTGGGGCAGAACCCCATTTCCACTTCCACATTCTAGAAGTTGAAATTGATCATTTCCAATGTTTAAATCTGATTGTATTCAGCACTGAGAAAACTGCATCACAAGAATCAAGACTTTCAGTTTAAGCCCGTTTCTATATTCTATATATTTACTGAGAGCTGAGACTGTGATCATGACTGAAATCCAAGAATGCATTGCTTTCTCAAAGAGTTTAGAGTCTTTAAAATGTAAGAATGTAATATCAGATATATATTTTAATTATGTATTATATTTAATTATATTTTTAATGTTACTTAGAGTATACTTTCTTGCAACTCTCTTCCTATACACTTTTAAAGTGCCTGACATAATGGGGCCAAGATCTAGGTGGTATTTCTGGGTGCTACTGTAATAAATGTGATGATAGATTATAAAAATCAGCCTATTGTTCTAATATAAGTGATAATAAAATCTTTTCTATTTATTTTTTATTTATTTTTTGCTGAAAACAGATGATCTGCTCAGATCTCCATATCTCTGCAATACATTCTACTTCACTGAAATCAATCCCTAGGCCAAAGTCAAGTCCATCTGTGAACAGAATTATAAAATAATATTATAAAATACAATGTGAACAAATTTTGGACAAGCATAAAATAAAAGGTAAAATAGGGAATCGTGGGTGGAGAAGGCATGGCTCTAGATTCTCCAGTGCCATTCCTTTTGGATTAATCCTCCTGGATGTCACTGATGAAGAAATAACAGGATCAGGTTAGAAAAGAAGTGTTTTATTTTTCTTTATAAAAATCATGGGTTCTGTTATTATGAAGAACAAATACTAGATCTGATTTGTTGCTAGAAAAAAATATTTTTAATATTTATAAATGGGATCTTGAAAAATATTTTTTATCCAAACTACCCTTTATATACTTATGACCAGAGAGAGTTTCTGACAAGTCAAGTAAGGAAATGGAAAGTCTTGCTGAAGGAAGCTCCTTAACATTTGTTCAGGTTAACTCACTGAGCAACTCATTTTGTATCATCTACCATTATTTGATGACTATTAGACTGTGACCACTTTCTTGACAGATTTCAGAAAATACTGAACAGAGCTAAGATAAGTACTAGAGATGAAGTGGGAGTGGGTTGGATTGCCTTTTTTCCTCTTCCTTTTAAATTTTCATTTGTATTCTGTGTGTTTTACATAATTTCCCCTTTCATGTGTATTAGGTATACCAGGGATTGGATCCCTGTTATGTTAAGCACTAGATGTAACTGAAAAAGGCATTCCTTTCCTCCAAAGAGCTTACCGTCTCTGTAGATTCTTCAGGGTGATACAACTGAGATTTAGTAAAATGCCTCATAACACCTCATTCTAGCCTTTGGCTTTAGATCATTCTCATAACTTAAAAAGTATCGTTTTGACAAGGTGGAAATTCTGATTTGCACCTGAAGTATTATTTTGTGTATGCTGGTGACTTTTCCCCCTGATGTAGGTGTATTTGGCCTGCCCTAGTTTGAGTGCAACCATGACCCTTTCCTTTTATGATTTAGTGTGGTTTAGCTGTTCATATTTGCTGCCTTCCTCCCTTATATTCATCTTATTTCATATTAACTGGAACCTATCGTCTTAACTAAATTATACAGGTAAATTGAAAGAAAATTGCTATAAAATTTAAACAATAAAAAGACTATAGCTGCTGTAGCCAGGCTCAGTCCTCATGAGAACAGTTTGCTAAGAACCTATTAATATCCTCTGTATACTGTCAGTCACAGAACACAGAGAAGACGGCTGCCTTGCTTTAATAGATTATTTGCATTGCGTCATATCTGTCATCAGTTCAGCATATTTTCCCTATGTTCTTACAACCTGAGATTAGAACAGCTGCTTCCAGAAGAGTAATGTGGACAAGATTTGTGGCCCCATTTTTAGGAGGTGGACTAGTTAGTAGCACTAGTATTTGGTTTAGAAGCAAGTCCAATTAACTTAGTAGAGCTTTGCATTGTCTTGATGTACTAAATTTTTTTTTTTCCCATCATGTAAGTTCAAAGGAGTTAGAGCAGAGGTTTCAAATATATAGACCACAGGCCAGGTCTAGCCTGTGGAACTGCTCTATCAGGCTGCCAGCATGACTGGGGGGAGTGACCTGCCACTGAATCTTGGGCCCTCGGGTCCTGGCGGTCATTATGATTAGTGGCAGGAGAGTAAATGAGGCTTGACATAGCCTTGGTCACCCTCCTGCTGCTTTGCCTATCCGCACTGCAGCAGCTCTACCTTCCTGGCCACTGGCCCCTGCCGTATGTCCCGTGCTGGAGCCAGAGCTGGAGCTACCACCACCACTGCCACGTGCTCTGGATCAGCTTTGTTACAATTTCCTCATGCCCTGGGCTGGATCCAGCCTGAGAATAGCCCCACAGTCTAGCCCGGGTCACACTCTTAAGCTAAAGCAACACAAGAACAAGAACATGTTAACTTGACTTTCAGGGTCTAGACACCAATAGAAGTAAAAACATGGCCACTTTTCATGGCTTCACTTGTCACCCTGAGTTGTAACAGTGTTTTTTAATTGGCCTAAGCTAGCCTGAAGGGGTTTGCAAGCATGACTGAAGAACAAATGTTTTTTCCCGTCAAAGCATACCCATGGTTAGTTAGACAGGGTCTGAGGTTTAGAAATCAGCCAAGAAGCTGATTACATAGCCCACCTTCATCACTGAGAGCTGCTATAAGTTGTTAAACTATTGACTCTACGCTTTCTGCCACTGAACTGTCACACCTGAATGAGGCAAGGTTTGGACCTGTTGGCTGAAATTTTCCAAAGTGACTGGTGATTTTAGGTGCATTAAATGTTGGGGTGTTCAATTTACAACAACTTGAATTTTGATATCAGGTCCTTGAAAGATGTCTCAAATTGGAGAAATGAAAACTGATGTACCAAAAGCTTTTAGTTGTTTTTGAAAATTTTGACCACTTGAAATGCCCAGAAGCCTTCGGACATCAAGGTCAACATTTTCAAATGAATGCCAAAAGTAAGACGGCTGAATCTGTTTGGGCACATAAGTGAAATTGCAAATATTCAGAAGTGCTGTGGAACCTGCCAGCTCAGACTACTGCTGAAAGACTACATAATGACCTATAGTTTGTTGCCCCTTATAGTGATGTGGGTTCAACATCTTGCAATTTATTATTGTGTAACAAAATTGAAATAATATTTGGAAGGGGAGCGGTTCTCTCCCGTCAATGCACGTGCATAACTCTCGTCAGCTACAATGAAGTGGGGAGTAGCTAAGGAATGTAAATTTAGGGCAAAGGACTCTATC